TATTTTTTACATATTTTATTTTTTATGCTATTGCAAATGGGATTGTTTTCTTGATTTTTTTTCTGATAAGTCTGTTATTAATATATAGAAACATTACTGATTTTTGTATATTGATTTTGTATCTTGCAGCTTTATTGAATTCACTTATTAGTTCTAACAATTCTTTTGTGGAGTCTTTAGGATTTTCTATACATAAGATCATGTTGTCTGCAAACAGTGATGATTTAACTTCTTCCTTTCTGATCTGGATGCCTTTTATTTCTTTTTCTTTCCTACTTGCTGCTGTAGATTGAATGTCTCCACAACCTCATTTAGGCTTAATCCCACTGTAACTGTTGAGGGTGGGAAATCCTATCATGGTAATTGAAAGGTGGGGCCTTGAAGAGGCGATTAGATTGTAGAACTGTGCAGTAGTGAAGGATTAAAAATGGTGGTCATAGGTGTGGTTTGGAGGGCTTTAAGAAGAGAGTGAATGAGGAGGTTAGTCTCTCATTTTCTCTGCTCCACCATTTTTGTAATGTGATACTCTACCATCACTGTGACTACCAAGACCCTCACCAGGTGTGTTCCCTGGCCTTTGGATTTCCCCATCTGTGATACTGTAAGCAATAAATTTTCTTTTCTGATAAATTACACAGTTCTATGTATTTTGTTATAAGTGACTGAAACAGACTAATACACTTGCTCTGGCTAGAACTTCCCATACGATGTTGAATAGAAGTGGTGAGAGCTGGCATCTTTGTCTTGTTCCTGATCTTAGAAGAAAAGCTTTCAACTGTTCACCATTGCATATGATGTTAGCTGTGGGTTTGTCATATATGTTCTTTGTTACGCTGAGGTACTTTATTTCTATACTTAATTTACTGAGAATTTTTTTTTTTTTTTTTTTTTAAAGATGACCGGTAAGGGGATCTTAACCCTTGGCTTGGTGTTGTCAGCACCATGCTCAGCCAGTGAGCAAACCGGCCATCCCTATATGGGATCCGAACCCGTGGCCTTGGTGTTATCAGCACCACACTCTCCCGAGTGAGCCACGGGCCGGCCCCAATTTACTGAGAATTTTTATCATGAAAGGATACTGAGTTTTGTGGTGCTTTTTCTGCATCTGTTGATATGTATGATCATATGGTTTTTGTCCTTCATTTTGATGTTTGTGTTTTTTTGTATCTTGTTTAAGAAATACTTCCCTACTCTAATTCATCAATATATTCTTATATTTTCTTTGAACAGTTTTAAGTTTTGCTTTTCATACACTTAAGCTATCTGAAATGTATTTTGGGGCATGTTTTAATGTAGGGATCTTTTTTTTTTTCTTTCCCATTTGGATAGCCAGTTAACCCAAGATCATCCTTTCCCACTGATTTATGTCACTTGTTTCATATACCAGGTCTCATATCTTTGTGCATATGATTCCAAGAAGTTCTATTCTGTACCCGTGGTCTAATTATTTGTCTATGTGCGAGGACTACATTCTTTTTGTCACTCTTATTTTAGAGTATAGTCATGATATACGATAAAGGAAGTGCTCTGGTGTTCTGCTCCAAACTTGTTTTAGCTTTTCATGGCCATTTACTTTTCTATGATAATTTAAGAACAACTTGTCAAGTTCCATAAAATATCTTTTTGGGGTTTTGCTTAGAATTGTACTGAATTTATAGATTTGAGAAAAATTGTCAGCTTCATATTGAATATTCTTCTGCATGTTTATGACATATCTCTTCATCTTTTATGTTCTACAATAGTGTTTTATTTTATCCATGAAGCTCATACACATATTTTGTTATATTTATCCCTGAGTATTTTGTAGTTTTTGTTGCTATTACAAAGAAGAATGGTGTATTCTTAAAATAAAGTCTTCTATTCGTTTATTGCTCTGGTATAGGCATATTGATGTTTGTGTATTCATCTAGTCTCCAGCAAGGAGTGTGTTAGTTTGAAAAGTTTGTTTGTAGGTTCTTGTGAATTTTCTTTGTAAATAATCAATCTATGTATGGTGACGTATAGTGGTCAGTCTATGTATAGTAATCATCTATGTATAATGATGGCTTTATTTCTCCTTTTTCTTATTGTGCCAGTTCAAACCCCCCCAGCACAAAGTTGAATCAAAACCATAAAAACTGGTATCTTTGTCTTGACTTTGGAAGTTAATTTCTATTCTTAGTCAGCTAGATTTTTTCTTAAAATAATCATGAATTAGTATTAAACTTTATCTAATGGGTTCTCCATACCTATTGGGACAATCATATGTTTTTTCCTTTTATTATTTCAATGTCATATTATTAATACATTTTTTTAAGGGGCTGGCCTGTGGCTCACTTGGGAGAGTATGGTGTTGATAACACCAAGGCCACGGGTTCAGATCCCTATATAAGGATGGCCGGTTAGCTCACTTGGGAGAGCGTGGTGCTAACAACACCAAGTCAACAGTTAAGATCCCCTTACCGGTCATTTTTTTAAAAAAAAGAAAAAGAGGGGCTGGCCCGTGGCTCACTCAGTAGAGTGCAGTGCTGATTACACCAAGGCCACGGGTTCGGATCCTATATAGGGATGGCCAGTTAGCTCACTGGCTGAACGTGGGGCTGACAACACCAGGTCAAGGGTTAAGATCCCCTTACCAGTCATCTTAAAAAAAAAAAGAAAAAGAAAAAAAAATACATTTTTAAGTAGACAGTCCTTGCATTCCTAAAATAAATCCTGCTTGGTTATTCGCTAAACATATGCGCGTATACACACACATGCACAAACTCCACTGAATTGTTTGCTAATATTTTATTTATGATTTTTAGTCTTATAAGTATGATTGGCCCTCTTTTTCTATAATCTGAAACGGTTTATATAAATAAATAAGCAATTCATTTAATCATTGGCAGAAAACATCCGTATAAGCATCTGGGTACTGTGTGTGTGCATGCACATTTTTAACTTCTCGTTCAATCTTTTAGAATTTATAGATCTGTTCAGTTTTCTATTTTTTTTTTTTTTTTTTTTTAAAAGATGACCGGTAAGGGGATCTTAACCCTTGACTTGGTGTTGTCAGTACCACGCTCAGCCAGTGAGCGAACCGGCCATCCCTATATGGGATCCGAACCCATGGCCTTGGTGTTATCAGCACCGCACTCTACCGAGTGAGCCACGGGCCGGCCCCATTCAGTTTTCTATTTCTTTGTGAGTCAGCTGAGGCTATCTTTCATCTAATTTCTCCATTCTTTAGGTGGATGATAAAACTCCAGCCGTTAGTTACCAGAACCAGTTCCCTTCCAGCCCCCTTCACAGTCAGCTCACCCTCTGGCTTTCGGTTTCCTCTGTTTCTAGCAACCTGAGATTTTACTTTCCTTTTAAGAACTCAATCATATGTTTAATTTTTTTTTCATATTTTATCCAGTGTTTCCAGGTGATGGAGGAAGAGTTTTAGATTTTCTAATTTCTTCATCTTGCTTGATTCTGAAGTTGTTCCCATTTTACGTACAAGAAAGCTAGGGTTCAGAGTGGTTGAATAGCCTGTTGTTGGAGGTCCCACGACTAATACTTTTAACCTAGTTATTGAACCCAGATTTGCCAGTTCTGAATCCTGTGCTCTTGCCTTATTGTTCTATGCTGCCTTCTGAAGCCAGTGAGGCAAAACCAGAAAGAGGCACTAAAAAGTTAAAGAGGGAGAGAGTCTCATAGGCAAGATGGAGGGGGCGTGGGAGGAAAGGTGGGGCTGTGAAGCTGGATGATACCAGGAAACAGCACATGGGACTCCTAGGCTGTAGCTGCTGGAGGGAGAAACATGGCCTCAATCCATCCCCTCTAAATCCTGAAGTATCTAGACCCTTGCCCCAGATCCTGGCATGAATGCATCCAACCAATGTTTACAAAGTGTCCAGTGCTAGGTTCAGGGTATGGCAAGAGTGAACATCTGCAGTCATGGTCCGTACCCTCAGGGAGCTTACATTCTATGGGTAGAGAGACATCAATCAAATAATCACCAACAAATGTAGAACTGCATCTGTGCTAAGTGCCTCCAAGGAAAGGTACATCTTGGTGTAAGAGCTCATAAGAGGGGAATTTGGCCTTGAAAGGAAGTCAGGGAACTTTCCCTGAGAAAGTGAGGAAGGAGCTGAGATCTGAAGAATGAAGAGGAGCTAGCTGGGGAAGGAACAGAGGAAGGAGCCTTCAGGCACAGGGTCTAGACTACCTGAAGGATCTCTGCAGGAGTAAGTACGTGGTGGACAGGAACTGGAGCTGGTGGTGTGAGGGGGAGAGTGAGTAGTGGGAGATGAGGCTGGAGAGGTGGGGCCACGCCTGGCCATAGGGGACAGGTTAGGACTTGAGTCTTTAACTTAAGGTCAATGGAAAACCATTGAATAGATTTAAGCACGGTGACTGAAACAATCAGATTTGCATTTTAAAAAGGTCCCTCCTGGGTCGGCCCGGTGGCGCACGGGAGAGTGCGCCGCTTGAGAGTGCGGCGGCGCTCCCGCTGAGGGTTCGGATCCCATGTGGAGACCGGTTCCCGCTCACTGGCTGAGCGTGGTGCGGGCGCAGCACCGAGGGTTGCGATCCCATTGCCGGTCCCCGGTACGGGAGCAACACTGAGGGTTGCGATCCTGTTACCGGTCAGTAAAAAAGACAAAAAGGGAAAAAAAAAAAAAAAAAGGGTCCCTCCTACTTAGGTGTGTAGCATATATTGGAGGCCATTCCTAGCCTCTTCAGCTATTGCAATTTCAGAGGAAAGCCAAATGGTCCAAATGGTGGCTGGACCAGAGAGGTGGAGGGATGGTGGGGAGTGGACAGACTTGAGCTATATGAGTATTATAGCAGATTAAATTGATACGAATAGATGCTGGATTCAATACAGATATGCTCACACTAAGTGCTCCTAGACTGAACCCTTTGAAGGCAGGGGCCACGTCACATGACTGTTTGCAGAACCCAGGTTCCAGAACAGTCCCTGACACATGGTAGACTCAATACACATTTCCTGAAAGAGTGAAACTGGTTAATGGTCTCTCAAGTGATCCTTTTACCTCAAATTGTCTTTAATTCATTCTTGCATGTGTCAATAATCAGCCTCTTTGATACATCACAGGGAGAAATGTTGCCAAGTTCCAAAGAGTATTCTTTGGGGCAAGTTAATACAAGAACTGAGGTCTCACTTATCCTACAAAATGAACAGTAACAATAACTTGCTGCAAGTGTTACCCCAAGGGAGTATCTCCCGCAAGGAACCTTCTGCAAAGGTGAATGATGACAGCTGCCTCTTCAGTGTCAGGCTGGGTTGAGGGGTGCCAATCTGAGGGGACACTCATGTGGGACTCCTGGCTGACTGTCCAAAGCCAGTTTTCCTGTATATGAAGAGGACATTAAACAAGCAATTTTTGTAGAAGTGCAAATGGCAGGACATGTACTGCTTGTGGTGGTTAACTCAGTATCTTGGCAGCACTGGGGGAAAGATGTTTGTACCATATGTTCCCTTCTAGGTTTTTGAGATTTTTTTTTCTGTATCTTGTCTCACACAGTCCTGTTCTCCTTTCTTTACTTGTCCTCCAGCCTCCCTTGGCTTCTTCCTCTGGTCTGCATCTCTTCCATCTCCCTGCCTTTTCCTTGGCCACAGGCCTCTGCCTGTTTTCATCTTTCAATAAGAGGCTCTCTGTGTAGTTGGAAAGAGCAGCTGGGCATTATTTTTAGAGTTAAATGCAACAAGGGTTTTAAAGTCCTGGGGTCCTGGGAACAGGGCCTGGTGAAGCCAGGAGTGGGCACAGGGTGATGGCATCATCAGATAGGAGCACTGGGTGTAGCTTTAGCACCTGACGTAAGAAGGACCCAGCAGTCTCTAGAGGAAGCGATGGGATTCGGAGGAATTAGTATGGTGACTAGGATATGATGGTGGGGGTTGTCAGAGACATCTGGGGATTTAGTTATCTCTTTAAAAGGACCCCTTCAGGAAAATCCCAGGGAATCTGATCCATTCACGACAATAGCAGGTCCAAGACAGCCTAGTTAAACTTCTCAGATGAGGACAGAATATGGGAAATTGCCCAGGGACATTTTATTTGTTATTTAAAAAAATTTTTTTTCTTTTTTTAACTGAGAAGTACAGATGTCTTTCTAAGAAACAGGCAAAATTCTTCTCTAGGCTTGGGAGTTCCCTCAGAGATCAGCACTTTGGTCTAGAGTTTTCTTTACTTTTTTTTGCAGCTGGCCAACTTGGGGAACTGAACCCTTGACTTTGGTGTTACAAGGTCATGCTCTAACCAACTGAGCCAACCGGCCAGTCAGGTCTAGAATGAGATGGACCTGGCTATTCTAGCTTCAAATAGGTCCAGGTGAGACACTCTGGCCACCCCATAGGGCTGCTCTGAAAGTCATTCTGAGGGGCTGGCTGGCTGGCTCAATTGGTTTGAGTGCAATGTTATAACACAAAGGCCAGGTTCAGATTCCCGTACTGACCAGCTCCCAAAAAAAAAAAAAAAAAAAAGTCATTCTGGCTGGGGGTCAGGGGGAGCTGTGTTCTGTGATGTCTTCCACAGGTGGAGGGATTCTGTCACCAAGGCTGCCCTTCTATTCTCCTGGAGTGCTGCACAGTTGGTGGTGGGGGTGGGGGTGGCACTGCCACAGAGGCCCTGACTCCTCTTCCTTCTGTGTTTGTCCCTGTCCTTCCTGTTGTGTATGACCTAGTGTCATGACACATAGGTTCTCTGAGTGAAGCTACAACCAAGGAAGCCAGAGCAGTAGGGCCTGTCCCCAGGGGTGGCCCTGGTGGTGATGCAGCTGCACCACAAGCTGAGCCTCAGTCTGGCCTGTCGGACTTGCAGGTGCTGCACCAGCCTTGAGCTCTGTCCCAAGCTTTTGCTTCACTGGCTGCAGTGGTATGGCTGCTCCACCTGGGGTTGCAGGTTGCAGTGATGGCTGGAGACGTTGCCACACTGGGCACTGGAAAGGCTTCCTACTGTGGCCTGGGCTGTGCAGTAGCGGGCCACTGCCAGTACCTGTGAGAAGAGTAGACCAGAGTCTTAGCAGGTGTGGACTGGTGGGGACAGCAGGGGAACGGAGTGGTGGACCTGCTGGTGGACTATGAGCCTGAAGTGCTGGTTGAAGCCACAGCCATACTCACTGCACAGTAGGGTGCTTCCCCTAAGTGCATTTGTAGGTGCTGGGCCAAGTAGGCATTCTGGGTGAAGTGCCTGGCAGGGTAGAAGGGTGCTCATTAAGTCAGCCTCCTTGTGGTGGATGAGACTGGGGTGGCACCTAAAATTCCATCTACAGGTGGCACAGACATAGGGCCACTTGCCTGTGTGTACAGTGGCGTGCTACAGCAGGCTGGAGCTCTTGGAGAAGCCCCTGCCAGACTGGCTACAGTGACAGGGGGCTCAGGCAGGTGTTTGTGGTGGTGCTGGGCCAGGTGTTAGTTATGGCCACACTCACTGCAGCAGTAGGGTCTGTCACCTGTGTGAGAGTGGAAGTACAGGGTCAAGTGGGCTCCTTGGCTGAGTACTTCCCACATTTGGGGCAGGGAAAGGGCCCCTCATCCAGGCTGTGTTGGAAGAGGTGGGAGTGGCAGGAAGACGCTCCACATCCCAGGCAGGAAATGGGCTTTGTGGGGGGGGATGGGGATGGGGGACCCTGGTAGAGGAGGTGGGGAAGGGTCAGTTGTGACAGCTGAGGGATCAAGGGTGCCTAGTTGGGAGGAGCTGGCGGTCTGTCCTGCCTTCTACTCCTCTTCCTTTGCTCCCAGCCTGTAGGGTGAAGGGAGACTAAGTTGAAAGCAGCATGGGGGAGAGAGGGGAGCAGAGGAGATAGAGGTGGGAGAGCAGAGGCCAAGCCCCCCCCCAACTGAAGAAGTGGTTGGGGACTTCAGTGACTCCTCCCTTCTCCCAGGGGTGTCTTTTCCCAGAGGTGTAGTGTGGGGTTGGTTGGTGGAGGAACCCAAACACAACTTTCCATGAGCAGTTGACCAGGGTTTTGAGGGCTGCTGGGCAAAGACAGGGTCCTCGGAATTTGGCCTCACCTGGGCAGGGGTCTCCTGAAGGGCTCTTTCCCTCAGGCTCCTGAGGCCCTGGGCTCCAGGGTTCAGCTTTTGCGTTCATACACATGATTTGCCCTGGTTTGGGGACTGAGACACTTGAGAGGGGTGAAATGACAAAGTGTGGGGTAGGGTAAGGGAGAGAGAGGCTCCTTCCTACATCCCTCACCACCTCCACAGAAAACCTTTTTTCTTGCCCTCCCAGCCCAGTCATGCCCCTGCTCTGGAGACTCTGGAGGGAAAGCCCCTCCTGCATGGGACAGTTGCCATTCACACTATTACAAGGAAAGTAGCTAACATTTCACTGAGCATCTCTCTACAGCAGTGGTCCCCAGCCTGTGTGCACGTCAGAATCACACCGAGGGCTTGTTAAAACACAATTGCTGGCCCCACCTACAGAGTTTCCTCATACAACAGATCTGGGATGGGGCCCAAGAATTTGCATTTGATGCTGATGCTACTAGTCCGGTATCCACCCTAGGAGAACCACTGGTCTGTTGGGCATGTGACTTTACTTAAAATTCACTAAATCCTCATAGCAACCTGTTATTCTCCCCATACTGCAGGCAAGGAAATTGAGGCAAGATCCAGGAGCTTGTTGTAAATGGCAGAGTGAAGATTTGAACACAGGTCCTTCTGACTCTGGTATCAACCTTCCTTTCTCTACCCTGCTCCTTTGCCTCATTAGCTATTTATTCTCCTATATGTATCTTCTTCCTCAACAAAATAGTAAAGTTCCCTTCTGTACACTTTTTTATTTTTTGGTGGCTGGCCCATGGGGGTGGTAGGGGATCCGATCTTTTGTATACTTTGTATCTCTCATCTTGCCTAACCCAGTAATGCAGGCTAGATTGAGAGGAACTGAGGATTTGGGGAACAGGAGTGGAAAGGCTGGAGGCCCCCCATCCCCCGACTCAAATACCTCCTTTTCCCAGCACTGGGGAAGGAGAATTGCTGGTCAGGCAGGTGTAGTTATTTTTTCTTGGGGAGTGGATAGGGGAGACTTACCCAGGGCAACGGGTTCCCGGATGTCCCCCACATGGTGTCACGTTAACAAACAGTCATGTCTGCAAAGTCCACAGTCGCGGGGACAGAGGAGGGCGAGAGAGCACTCGCAGCAGAGAGGCGGCGGGAGGGGAAAGTGAAAAGTGGAGGGGAAGGGAGGGCGGGGCGACGGGGCGTCCGGGGAGCTGAAACAGGGAGCAGGGGTGCGGCGGGCTGTTCCAGAGAGAAGCACGGGAGCGGGCAGCAGAGGCAGAAGCGGCTACCGGTCGGTTAGGGCTGGGGAGAAGAGCAGTGAGGGCTGACGCTTCCACAGCCCATGGAACAAGAGAAGCCGGGCTGATTCCACCTCGGTACCTCCTGCCCTTCTGCTTGTCCACCTTGAGGCTCCAAGAGCAGCGCCCATCTGCCCTCTCCCCCCCGTACTTGGCATCCGAGAGCAGGGGACTCAGGATCACGGGTGTGGGAGGGTTCCTACAAGGATGAAGTGGGCGTTGTCTACTTCTGCAGGCAAGGGGGCCACCGGGGGTGAGCGCCAGGTCACCGGGTCTGCAGTACTTGCCTGGGCTGGAGGATGCCCACCTGCATCTGCGGTATTGAGGGTACCAGGGACGAAGGGAACAAACGAGAAATCCCGAGGGTGGAGTCGGGTGCTTTCGGGTCAGCATGCGGGCCGTATAGTGTGAGGAAGCGGGAGGGCCTAGCAGACTTTACCTGCACAGGTAGTTCCTCTGCCAGCGACACCGAGAACAGAGCGAGGGGGAGGAATTAGGGGCTGGTCGGGGTAGGGGCGTCAAGGGCAGCGGAAACAGGAAGTGAGAGGCAGAGACTGGGGTGGTGGTGGAGGGAGTCGGTCCCTCTGGAGAGGCCATACGTTCTCCCCGGAGCTCAACGCTGCCCTGGACACCCCGTCCAGTCGTGCGTCCCCGGCCCCCCAGAGCCGGGCTTGCGGCCCCTCGCGCAGAATTGGAGGCCAGGAGGCAGGCGTGGCTTTCCTTGACGCCCCCACCCCTATACTCTCAGTCGCTGCCTGGACGAGCACACCCATTACCGGGCGGCCCTCCCTCCGCTCAGCCCCGCCGCCGGCGACAAGCTGCGCACTCCTGGGAACTGTAGTCCCCAGCCCTGCCCGCCCTTCTTCTGGATTCGGCCCGGGTAACTGAGATGTTGAGCAGAGCAGGGAGGTTCTCGCACCGTCCCCCGTCTCCCGCTCTTCTCTTTTCAGCTGTAGAAACCAGCTTCTCGCGGCGACCCAGAATAATCTTCCTGCCAAACACCACGATCCTGTCCGCGCCTACAAACGTGCTTTCCTCTCTTGTGCACTTTCCCTTTAACATTTAAACCCTGGATTTCAGCCTGAGCAATTCAGGTTTTAGGGAGCAAATTTGGGATCTGACTTCACTCCTGCTATTCACCCTCTTTTTTCCGGCTTCACAGACTGTTTCTCCCTATTTTCATACATATTTGCTAATTTGGAGGTTCAGAAATATGGGAATTACACACTATGAATAGCCTCTGACAGTCTCCTCCAGGGCTGATTCTACACAATTTCTAGGCCTCCCTTCCCAATCATTTTTCTTGTACACCCCTGATAAACAGAGACACAGAACTGCAGGTTTCAAAGGGGAAAAAAAGCAAATTTGTTGTTGGTAGTAGAATGTGAAGGGCAGGGTTCTTCACCTTCCCCAACACCCTGTATAGATGGGAAGTTGGGGAGCAATAGAAAAGGCAGTAGATGAGGGCACACGCCCCACTCTGTACAATATAGAAGAATCTGATATAGATACTTTGTATAAAAGCCACTTGTCCTCATTTGTGTCCTCTTGCTGGCTGGGCTGAGGGGCATTGGGAGACAAAAAAGCTGGGGTAGTGGGCCAGGACACAGGGACAACTCTTGGTCCCCCATCCTCTGGCTGCCCCCTTGTGGGGTCACTTTGGATCCTTGGTTGGGGCATAGCACAGCTCCAATGGGCGGGACACCTTCCAGAACTTCTCATTTACCAACTCCAGGGTCAGCGAACCATTCAGTGTCTAGAAGGGGGTGAAAGGGAGAAGAAAGGGGAAGAAAGACAAAATTGGAGAAGACAGAAAAGGAAATGAGAGGCAAAAGGTGACCGAGGGAGAAGGAAAGAAAAACGATAATAAAAGAGATGGCACAAAGCAGGAGCACATGGAGTGATGGGAGAGAAGAGAGGACAGGGACAGGAGATGGAGGATGCAGAGGGAGAAGAGAGCTGGTGAGTTAGGTCAGGCTCATGGTTTTGTGTGGGTCCAGGCCACCCTTCCCTCCTCTCCCCTCTTATACCACTGCCCCCAGAGGCTCTCACCGTGAACGCTCCGCCTCCAGGTGCAATGTAGATGGTGTACTGCTTTTCACTGACACCCTCCAGGCTGGGCAAGGCAGGCTCCTCAGGACCCTCACCTCCTCCTGCACCTCCACCCTCTCCACCACCCCCATCAGGTCCCCCAGTATCAGAGGCGCCCCCTCCAGGCCCTCCTGGTTCCGCTGCCTCTTGCTGCTGCCTCCGCTCAAGGGCAATGCGCAGGGCCAAGTACTTGGAGAGATGGTCCACTGTGGCATTCCCAGTTGTCTTCACATACCTGGAGTGAGAAAGAGAGGTTTAGGGTACGGGAAGCCTGAAATGGGGAAGGGAGACAGGGGACTTCCCAAAAGGGCCTCTGGGTTGGGGTTTCTCTTTGGGTTTGGGCAAAGCTCACTCCAAATGGAAATATATATGATCTTTGGTTTCTCAGTGGTCTGGGGAAAGACAGGGCTCCTCACCTAGTCTGGCAGTATTCTCCCTTCTCCACAAGCAGGGGGTGGGGCCGGAACACGAGCTCAATTTCTCCACCTGGCTCCGGGGGACTGGGGGCCCCAGGAGGGCTTGGGGGGCCCAGGGTTCCCCCTCCCAGGGTCCCTCCCCGGTCACCAGAGTCTTCAGAACCGGCTCCCCCACCCACCCCACCAGTGCCACCTCCCCCTGTCCCTACACTGCTTCCGCCGGCGCCCCCTCCACGGGGTCGCTTGGGAGCAGGGCCTGGGGCAGAGTCAGGGGCAGAGTCTGAGCTCACATCCTCTCCATCCCCCTCTCCCTCCCCAGGCTCTCCTTCCCCCCCACTCATCGTTGTGGTCTGATCTGACCCGGGCATCGGCCGCCGCACACGCTGGGCCCTGTAGGAGCAAGTGGTTAAGGTTAGAAGACACCAAAGATAAGGGACTTAGACTTTAAACGTCAGAGAATTAAGAGATCGGGCAAATCTTAATGATGATACCTAATATTTATTAAACAGTATGTGCTAAGCACCCTAAGTGTTTTGCACTGATCCCTCACCAAACAACAAATCCTATCATGCAGGTAATTATATTATCTCTATTTTATGACTGAGGAAACTCAGGCTTAGAGAGGTTAAGTGACT